TTTTTTTTTTTTTTTTTTTTTTTTTTTTTTTTTTTTTCTTTCATAATCATTTTAAGACCAAATCTTCGAAGAGATATTTCAGAAAAATAGATTCGGAAGATTTTTTATCTTCACGCTTTACGAAAGTGAGTCATCCTCGAGATGAAAATTTAGTCTCAATATGACGGAGATAACGTGCGCGAGATAACGACAGAGAGGGATCAGAACACAATATTGCCAATGCAAATCTCGCAAATTAGTAATCAACGAACAGTCAACAGTCGCGATCATCTAATTTGTTCGAATGATTTAAGGCGTCCAATGTGTACAATTTATCCAAATGATATTTAAGGCATCCAGTTCTGTTATGGCACACGGTGTTAAATGTCACGCAGGTATGCAAGCAGGCAATCGAAATTTTCACATCGGAGTTAGTATTGTTAGAGCACACACTCACATGCCTTCTGTTCTGAGTCCTGATCCGCGCAAGACGGTTGCTGAATATATAGAGCCGGTTTCAGCGGCCTGCCGTCCTGATCTTCAACCTGTATCACCAGGCCGTGGTTACTTCCGTTTCCATGAGGGTTCCGCGGATTCAGTCTCCAGAATCGGAGACCCTGCCTCACATCCAACGCCAGATGGGTACCTCTGGATGTAAGAGGCGTCACCACCGAGTCCATCAAACGTTTCTTCGCTGATAAGATACAGATTTTTAATGATAGACTTTTATTCAATTAACAAGTCTGTGATTAATTCGTTGTTGATCAATTTGTAGAGTTTACCTCGGTGCCTCTTCAAGGTTTTCGTGTAATAGTAGACTGATATCCTAATCTTCTTTTCGTCTTCCTCTTCCTCGTCGAACGTGCTTTCCGAGGAGGACGTCACGTTCTCCTGTGGTAATTTGAATATTCGTAATTTAGCAGCGACGACGTGATCGCTAGAAGTCAGGTTCAATTGAAAATGCATATTCATGGAGAACGCGTCCGTCCAGGCGTCCTGATCCGTATTTCGTGGAATTTGACCTGATGGAAAAGATCAGACTTGCACATTTTTGGTTTATCATATAAACGTTAACCTGTCTATAACTATAACTTATGAATGCATTGTTTTATTTATTTATGGATCTTTCATCCTTTAATTCCATTTACTTGTGGATTTTATTTGCGCGATTTAATTTATTCATGAATCCGCTATTCTTCAATACGTTATTTTTAACGTAAATTATTTAGGTACCTGTACTTCTAAGGATTAAAAATTTTATCGAAGCTGTTTCGTTTGTATTAAGTTTTAATTATATTGCAGGAACTTTCAGTTAAAGAATAGACTTACAAGTTGGTGAAAACATAGCGAGCCGTTCGCGTTGAACCTGATTGGCGTCGGTGCTGAGGTTGTTGAATCTTCCGGTGAGGGCCAGGACGCGTGTCTTGATGTCCTCGATGGCTTTCTCACCCTGGCTGCACACAGAAACACAGAAGATTGACAAGTTGGTAGCGTTAAAACTTAAATTGATAAATGAAAAGCCACGGCAGCCGACAAACCTTAGATACAAATACTCGAGTGAAACAGTCATATATAAAGGAGAATTTGTAATTTTCATCCATTAGTGAAGTAAGTAAGAAATTGAGAGTTAAAGAGTAGCAAAAGCGAGAGTAAAAGGATCAGAAGTAATTGAAGAACTCCGTGCCTGGATGACGACGTAAAAATTTTCACTTGGAGATACGTGCAAGCTTTCCGGACAGGAAGGCAGACTAATGGACGGTGGTCAGTGACCCATAGGGCCCATAGTGTAGATCAGAGATATTTATTATACGTTCTAGACATTGACTAGACAGCCGACGCGAGCATTATTATATACCTCATTCGTCTTGTCTAGCAATGTAATGTATTCGTGTTAATGCTGTATCTTGAATCTTGGTTCCTTCTGGTAAATTAATTTTTACTTTCGAACCTGATAAACTAGCGATACATAATAATGATATGTTCTGTTAATTAGTAATCTACCATCTTACAGAAGAAGCCAAGGAAATCGAGCCTAAGTGTATGTATATAGAACTCGTGCCGACGATCAGGTGAGATTACGGGATTGCATAATCGAGCTCTAAGTCATTAACCGGACAAGGAAAAAAAGGAGGAACGTCGTTTCTCTACGTCACTAGCAAGGATTGCTTCGTTGGATGCCCACTTGGACCTTTGAGCGCAGCCAATCGCGCGTCAACGACCTCGTTGTTTATCGACATACAACTAGAAGTGGTTTTCCTAAACAATCGTTCAGTCAGGCTACAATGATTCCC